TAATATAATATTATTCATTGTATAATATAATAATGAAACAAGTTATTTATACTCTTAATTAGATATTTAAATTTAATCTTTAATTACTTATCATATGTACATTAAAATATAAATTAACTTGATATTTTTATGTAATAAATAAATAAATAAATCTTGATTTAAGTAAAATTATTAAACAAAAATATGTATAAAATAAAAATTTTAATTATTATTTATTTACTGTATAAAAACATTAAATCCATTTACCTACAAAGATTAAAGTAAAGAAACCAAAAAAATATAGAAAAAGCAATACTTTTTCCTCGGAAGATTGCAATTAATTAATGGAGAGCCCATGCATCTATTTCACTGAACGTACAAGATTATAAATACTGTTCGGCCAAAAAAATACCCACCGTAAGTCAGTAACTAGTGGTATTAATTTTACAACCAACGAGGTGGTTTTATGATTAAAAATTTTAAATTTTAAGTTAAAAATTTCAAATTAAAACCTTAAATAAGTTGAGAAAAGATTTAAAAATAAAAAAATGATATCGACTCTTATATAACCCTTAATTAAATGTAAAAATATATATATATATATATGTATATATATGAATTTTACTACCTATTCATACTTTTCAGCTGTCGACAAGCGTATTCCTTTGGAAGATGGTAATTAATGGAGAGAGATAACGTTGTTGGGGATAATTAATGGGGTTGTTTTTTCTTCCATTGACAGATTTAAAAGAATCTTGTATTATAAGCTTATCTAAAAAATAAAACTTAATTTTAATTTTAATTTTATTATTACATATATTTAATTAAATAATTAATAAAGTAAATATATTATTTTTTTACAACTTTAAATATATGTCCAAAAGATACATACTAAATAAATATTAATGAATATTATTGTTACTATTTATCAATTATCTAAAATAATTCACAAGTACATATTTTTAAAATAAAAATAAGATATTTTAAACTTAAATTATATAATATACAAACAAGATTAGTTAAAAGATAAAAAAAAGTATCTTGATCTTAGTTTAAAATTTAATATAATATATATGTATTATTTTATATACTATAAAATAAAAATATCGTTTCATAAAAAAATCTTAATATTAAAGGATTTTTTTTCTATCAAACAATTAATATCTTATAATTTAAATTATATTTAAAATAATTTAAATTATAAAATACTTTTTTATTATATTATTATTGTCACTTCTACGATACTACAATGTAAAAAATGAAAATAAAGATACCCTAACCGCAAAATATCCATTATAATTGAGTCTTGATTGAAATTTATGAAACCAATAATTATGATGAACATTCTAATTGGGCATCCCGTGCAAACGTTTTGATTTTCTGCAGTGCCAGTACAATAATCATTGGAAAAAGGTACAAGTCTACAACTGGAACGACGACAGGAATTTAAAATTTTTAAATAGTCAGCATTCCATCGAAAACCTTACACCATGACGAAATAAACATGGTACGATTACTACCAAACAAAAAAAAAGGACATGGTATGATAAATAGTTTTTAATTATAAAGTTTGGTAAGGTATGTTTTTTTGTTTGATATCTAAGGTTTCGTTCTGATTATTTCGGATTCGACCAGCTGTGGCGCATCAGAATGGTGGATGGGTCTCCTAACGAAGATTGCTGCGTATACAAAGTTTCAAACTCAAAACCTTACTTAAACTGAAACAAGCGCTTGCCACTTGATCCAATCACTTATTGGTAAGTTTGGTAAGGTATGTTTTTCCGTCCGGTATCTAGTGTTTCGTTCTGATTACTTTGGATTCGATCAGTTGTTGCGCATCAGAATGGTGGATGGGTCTCCTAACGAAAACTGCTGCGTACATAAGGTTTCGAACCCAAAATCTTACTTAAGCTGGAATAAGCCACTTATCACTTGATCCAATCCCTTGTTGGTAAGTTTGGTAAGGCATAGGCAGCGCTTTTAACAGGAGAAATCTTGGGTAGAACCACTCCCCTTTCAACGTCATCATAGAAAGTTTGTTTATGGTTTATTGTTGTACATTACATTCCATTTTTGGTTCTGCTGGTAACCAACTTTCAAAATTCTCTATTTATCGTATCAAAATTCAAAAGTTAGTTCGGAAACAAACGACAGAAACTACGACAAAAACTACAAGCACTTATCCGTTACGTCTTGAAGGAAACAATTATCACCTTTTTCATAAGTTTAAAATTTTACTTTTTCAAAAAGTTTAAATTTAGTTTGTAAAGTGATTTATAAATAAATTTAAAATTTTTTTAATTATTATTTATGTAAAATATTAAATTTTTATATAAAATCTTTATCTAAAAAATTTAGAAATCAAATTATGACTATTAAAAAAGAAAAGAGAGAGAATTTATAAAATACTTTCAAAAGTTAAATTTAAAATTTTTTATCAATAAATTTTGAAATTAATAAGAGAATATTTTGTTTAAAAGCAAAATTACCTTTTAAACTCAAACAAACAGCCCCACCCATAAATATACATATCTCATAAGGGTGAGGGGTAGCTGTTTTGGCAACAAACTTTCAAAATCAGTTCAAGTACGTCTCTCTCGCGGGGCCTTGTTTGAAAATGACTTGTCTGACTTTAACGAGGAAAAAGAACAGAGGATATGCAGCTGAGAAAGGTAGATGTCACGGTGTATTATTGGTCTTGGATTGGACTCATGAAGTTTCAATTCTTCCTTCACTTGATTTTGATCAAATCAACCTGCATTAAATATATTTTTTGACATTTTGTTTTAATTTAAATTATTAAAATATAACATAAATATAATTAATTCAATTAATTTTTATTTTTGTATGTAAGGTTGCATTTTAAAAATCTATCTACTTTTATTTTCAGATTAAAAAATAATAATTTTTTAATAAATATATTGTATAATATATTAAATCAAGATGTATGATATTATCCTATTCAATTGCACCGAAACATATGATATGGCTTGTTAACAGTAAGATTAATGTTCTCCATTACAAAGTCAAAATAAAATTATTACACAGCTTCTCTACCATACGTTGTTGGAAGAAAACAGATTTGATAAAATCATCAGTATGGCCCATGACAACTGTACGTACACAGTTTTACCCGATACTTTTTAAAAAATAATTTGAACATTCTCTAGTAATACGTGAATATATGGACACTTGATTTATTTAATTATTAAAATATAATATAAGTATATCTAAATTAAGAAACATATACACCCTCAAACTCTTTGTATGGTGGCATATAACCCCTTTTCTAACGCGGAGGTTAGCTTTCTGTCTATTATTGTTTGCATGGCAGTTTCTCAACCCACTTGGATTCTTGGCCCTACTTTTGCTGATGTGTTTTAGACCCATTTAAAATAATGTCTTTTCTTTCCTCTTTTATTTTTTCATTTTTGGTAATCTTTTTCTTTCCATTCCTTGCTTCTCTCTCCCATTTACTTTGTTCAGTGAAGCTGTAGTCCACAACCAGAAATTTGTTGAGTTTTACACACACCTAATACATATAGAAAAAATTTTGTATAATTTAGATTATATTAAATTGTATAATACTTATTGTTGAATAAAAGTTGGGCATCATGATATTGGTGACCCTCACCTCATTAAAAAATATACTCCATCAAACTGTAAAATAAAAGTAATTTTATACATTATATATTGAGTACCTAATTGATTTTTCTCTTTATCTTCTCAGGATTTTGTTGCTTTTCATGAATTTATATGTTTATTTTGATTAACACTTATATCCTGCTCAGTTTTCTTTGTATCTTTGGCTAATGAATGAAATTGAGAGGAAGAGAGACTGAGAGAGGAGAGGAATCAGAGAGGTGAAAGCAAGAAAGGGAGTTTGTGGTGTTTTTTTCTTAGTTTTAAACTTTAGTAGTTTAAGAGAAAAGTAAAAATCAAAATATTTTGATATTTTAAAATTTAGGATTTTTTTGAAATTATTTTAATATATTTAATACATTTTTTTTTAAATGTTGATTTATTAAATGTTAAATAATTTCATAAGAAATTCTAACATTTTAATAGGTATTAGGATGTTTTGATTTTTTGCAATATTTTAGTTTAATTGTTTAATTTAATTTAATCAAATTACATAAAATAATATTAAATGCAACATTAGACCTTAAATGAGCCACATGGCATAATGGGTGCCCAAGTGGAGAAAAATTTGTCCACCTCATGGTCAAATCAGCCATGAACCGCGCCAAACGAAATCCCCGTTGCAACTCACAGGTTGGGGACGTAATCCGTCAAAAAAATAGGGAAGTGGGGGGGTTCATCTGTCGCCATTTGAAAAGTTTGAGGGTTCATATGCTTCTGAACTTAACTCAAGGGCTGATACACCACCATTGGAAGAGTATAGGAGCTAATTTGCTCATTTTGCCAAAAAAAAAAAAGAAAATTACCGAGGAGCCGAGGAGGAATAATTAAGACCATGGTAACGGGATTAATAAATCACATTGTGCGAAATTACCGAGGAGCCGAGCCTCCATTGGTTTGTGACCCTACATTTGTTTTGTCACGTGGCATTAATTTGTTGGCATCTTTACGTATGGTCCCAAAAGTCGTGTTGAGAGGCCGGTGGCAGCCACGTCTCTGCTACGTACGACTGGATTCTGGGGTTGTATATAATCTAATCCTCATAAAGCTTCAACCTGCAGGTCTCTGCAAACCCCCCCACCCCCCCCGAAGAAATCACTGAAAAAGAAGGAAATGGGTCGGAGTCCTCGGTTCACGCAGGATGGACTAAATAAGGGAGCTTGGACTGCTCATGAGGACACGATCCTCACGGATTATGTCAAGGTTCATGGCGAAGGAAAATGGAGCAACGTGGCAAAAAAAACTGGTTTCTTCCTCAATCTAGCTCGCTCGTTCCCTTCAATTTCTTTTTTTTTTTTTTTCAAGCTAGAACTTGTTTTCGCCTTCTATTTAAGTAAGATTTGATCTTTTTGCTAAGCCTAAAACTTCCCCTTCGTCCATGGATATTGCAATAAGATGGGGAATTGAGGCTGTTTTAAAGAATTGAGTAGAGTTTTACTGAATTTTATTTGATTGACTGTAGCAACAAATTGCTATTTTTATACATTACAGTTACTAGATAAACAAAAAAAATTTTACATTTTATCAAAAAATACAAAGATTTGATGTTTTTAATATTTTTTCTGAGAATATTATATTAAGTGAAAAAATCTCATATGAGTATAAAAATAAAAAACTTGTGAGTTAAATATAAAAAATGTCACTCCACCTATTATTAATTAATTTTAGATTAGATGCAAGTCTATATTGGGCCTACATATACAATTTTCACAAGGTATCAGAGTTCAGATTCTATCATGAGAAACCCACTATTAACTCCCTTAACAGACCCGAAGTTGAAGGTACCGGGCCTGCATTAATGTCACTCCACCTATAATCAATTGGTTTTAAATTGAATACAAACTTTGTATTGAATCCACATGCACAATTTTCACATATTAATCACACTATTTGTTATAAATTACATGGTTTGAGTTTGAAACTTATACTGTAACCAAGTAGTGTAATTATTTTTGATGTTATTGAACTTTTGGATTGATATATCTGATGAGTATTAATTAGCTTTCTTTAAATGAAGTCGGATGAAGAAAACACCAAGATGAAATTTTTAATTTGTGGTTTTAAGTTGGAACTGGAAACTCAACATCTTTAAATTATATATACTGCAGGTCTTAAGAGATGTGGAAAGAGTTGTAGGCTCCGGTGGATGAACTACCTGAGGCCTGATATAAAGAGAGGCAACATTTCGCATGATGAAGAAGAATTAATCATTAGACTCCATAAGCTCTTAGGCAACAGGTATGCATGTAAACTTCTTCTTCTTCTTCTTCTTCTTTTTTGAGTCAAAATTGTACTTGGTTAATTTGTAAGTTTTGTTAGGTGGATTTATATATTAAGACTTCTGAATTTTTCTCAAATAATTGTCTCTTTATTATTTTTTAAAGATAAATAAATATCTTTTTTTTATTTTAATTTTATCATTATTTATTTATTTTAATTAATTATTTTTTCAAAAAAAAGTCTTATTTTATCTTTTAATTTTTTTAAAGTAATATAAATAAATATATAAATAAATATCCATAATTAAAAAAAAATCAAAATAACATTTAATTTATAAAAATTAAAATTAAAAAAGACAATCATACTAAATAAAGTTTAAATTTTTTAGAGGGCCGGGGTGCTGGCGCCCTCAAATTGATTGGCTGAATATTATTTTTTATGTTTTTAAACACAGTACTCTCAACCAATCAATAATCTGGCGTTGGTGCACTTAACATGTGATGAAAAATGGTGTCTTGTTGTTCTGATTGGTTGCATGGTTTTAATAATGTATATATACAGATGGTCCCTCATAGCGGGAAGACTTCCAGGGAGAACGGACAATGAAATCAAGAATTACTGGAATACAACCTTGGCCAAAAAAGAAAAAGACTTTGAATTGAAAGTATCCAGGCCAATCGTCAACAACAATTATGTTGGTAGCGATGATGCTTTGCAGACGGAAAAGGTCGTTGTGACAACAGTTTACCAGCCCCACCGAACCAAGTGCAGCAGCACTAATTTTGTCTCAATGGGACCATCTTCCAAGAACTTGAAAATGGAATTCCATAAGTCGCCGTCGTCCTTGTCCAAAGAAGATGATCATAACAACGCGGGGGATTTCATGATGGACTTCAACGTTGAGGATATCTGCAAGTTTTTGGACATAAACGATGACAAAGTTAGAGGGGACGGGGGCGGAGGCGGAGACGGAGACGACGACTCATCTTTTCTCGTAAAGTTGGAGGCGGATATAGCATCCTCCTCGGAATTCCTGTCGCTGGCGTCGTTCCTTGAATCGGCTGAGGAATGGCCGGGAGATGAACTGAATATCAGTACTCAACCCGGACGGAAATGAAAAATTTTTTAGTGAATAATAATAATAATAATAATAATAATAATAATAATAATAATAATGTCCTGCTCAGCCAAAAAAAAAAATAAAAAATAAAAAGATAATGTCCCGCTTTGCATCTCTCTGATTTTGTCAATAAAATTTCGAATTTTCCCTCTGTACACGACACGTGCATGACCACAATTTCTCATGAAAAAAATTACAAAAAATTAGATCCGTACATGACACGAGCATGACCACAATTTCTCATGAAGAAAATTACAAAAAAAAATATATAGAAGCCTGAAAACATAAATGTGCTAGAACTAACTTTGATTTCCTTAGTTAAAAAACAAAAAAAAAATTGTTTGACACTATGTGAGTTAGTAGTCATTTTCTTTATAGGAACGTACCTAAATGTGAAAGTTTTAAAATCTATTCCTAAACATTACTCCTTTTTATCCCTAACAATTCTCTTAAGTCAAAAAAAAAAAAAGTGTGCAATCAGTTCTAATTTTCATGTATAAAAATTAGAATTCAAGCTTTAAAACCCTTACTCTCTAATAGATACTTTTAGAAATTAGTTGGTAAGTTTAACATTTTATTAATATAAATTATAAATGTAAA